ATGTACAAGGCAGTATATGCTTGATTCTAAATATTTTAATATCTTGCACCTTTACCTGTGATGCTGATTCTGATCAATATTTTTGAATTGACTTTCTTTCTTTGGAAGAAAATGAAGTGTTCTATACTAAGTTCAATCGTGAAATCTCTCAAACCTTAAGAAGATGTACACGGACGGTGTGAAATGAAATTCCACTTGAAAGGGCAAGAGGGAAGAAAACATCTATTTCAAATTCATTACTTCTTTTGGGTTTAACTAGTAGTAATTTGTTTTTTCTTCTATGTTCTGGTGTTTGGGTTTTGCCACAGATGGTCCCAGAAGAAGCAGGTGATTTGTGGATGGCCTATAATCTAATCCCCGAGAGTAATACCGTCTTAGCTGTCCAATTACGTATCTTTTAGTTTCAATTTTACATTTTTCCTTTTGATTCTTGTATGCATTGGTTTATTCCATGTTTTTGCTATTTCTAGAATATATAGCTTTGCATGAATCATGGTACACTTTTTTATGCTCTATTTCGAAATTAGATAAGAATGCCCTATTAGTACTGATTGTTATTGCATGTGGGAAATTTATGGCTAAACTTCGACTTCATCTTGTAAAGGAAACATCCAATCATAGGACCTTAATATATTATCTTCGTAATTCATTGTAGGAAGTTTCAAGAAAAGTTGCTTCCGGAGGAAGAGATATAGAAACTAAACCTTTGCAGCTAGCAATCTTCAATAATCACTCAATAACCTTCTAATCCACAAGTCTATTCGACTAAAAAAGAATGAAGATTGAACACAACAAATGAGGACACCAACACAAAAATTAGGACTTCGTAATTTATACTAATTCTCAGCTTTTTGCATCTTGTGTGTGTATTGTGTTAAGCAAGTTTAAATTCATTTTATCATAAAACGACATACCTGATCATCCTCGAGGGCATGAATATATTTATTTTATCTTCGTATATAGTAGTAAAATACTACAGCATTGAGAATCATATTTATTTTCACTTTTATTCTAGGTCCCTGCTATAGTATAAGAGCCTTAATCTCCGGGTGAAGATCTTTTGGCTCTTTTTTTTGTTTACAATTTTCAGATGTTGAAAGAGCATCTATAACCTCTACAACCTTCTATTCGGGTTAGAAGAACATCCAGGAGGACTTGAGTAGTTGAAACAATATGGTGAGTTAAAAAAATATGATGTTTTATTTATTTTCCTTGTCGATAAAACTGAACATTGATGCAAATAGTTTTCACAAGTGGAAAATTTTATTTTGATCGTACTAATGGAAATGGCAAAATGCAGCTAATATGGCACTAAATATTTGTAATTAACTTTAAAATTTTGTTTAAATATTTAATTTTCTTATCTTATAATAAGATTATCAATATGTGTTGATCGCTGTTTTTATTTCTTTTTATTTCAATTTTTAAGTTCCACAATATAATGGATAACATTGGAGCAGCATGAGAAGGTGCTAATGATACTTGCGTTTCCATTTCTACAAAATGACTGAGACCAATTATTTTTTCAACCATTGATAATGTTGAATTTATGCCCTAAGTTTGCTAAATATAATCTAGGATGGAAACATACTAAATCTTGTTAAAAATTTGTTTCAGTTTGTAGGCTTTTATTCAATGATATTGTACCAATTTTTGGTATGGAAATAAGGTTTTGAAAAGGATAGTGGATTTCTTTCCAAATCATCACAATAATAATTTTTTCTTGTTGAATATCTCTATTTTTTAATGTTCTGAAAATTTAAATATTGGTTGATGCAGTTAGGACAGAAGTTCTCATAACCACTAATTAAAGATGTGAACTATTTGAAACAAGATCGATGCTGAGTGTCATTGACCTACAGAACTATGAGAAGAATTCTAAGAAAAGATTGTAGTATACATATCATCTATAGAACATGTCAATCTTTAATTTTTGCTTCATCTGTCTGTCTATGGTTTTATATCTTACTATTTTGATCCAATTGAATTTCTCTACATCAGTTTGCTTTCTTATTACAAATTTATTTATTCAGAGATAGATGGCTGAAAATCGGTTCAAACAATTATTAGTTCAAAATGTAATTAATGAAATTTCAACATATTCAACACACTAATATTACCTTAAAAATAACACAGTCTGTGCATTGCATGGGCAGGTGACTAGTATTTATACAAGAGTTTTAACAATAAATATATTAAAAATATTCGTGAACGAAAGTTACGAAACAATATATCCTTTGACAAATCCTAAACAAGATTCCTACCACGTTCCCCCATAATAATTGCCATTTTGATGAAGGATTTGTTTGAGCCTATTCTTTAAGAGAATAGATTTTGTCATGATAAATTCAAAATTATTTTATTAGAAGAATGTGTGATTAAAAAATAAATTTGAGAAAAAAAAAACCTAAAAAATGGGACGGATGAAATATTTGTACAAAAACAAAATTTTATTAGAACAGTAAATATCTTCAGATTTGCCCACACTCCCAACGGCTCCGATAAATGCAATACGACTGCCAGCTCGGCTTGGAGAAATTGAGTCAGCCGGAAAAAGAGAGAGGATAAGTTTTATAAGACTAATCGAAGACAATTCGGAGTTTGAGAATGAAAAGACATTTAAACATTAGCTGTATTGTTATTTCTTTGGCAAGCCGAGTTGCCACGTGAGCGAATTTCTGCTACCATAAATTTGCACAAGTGGCTGTCATTTGTCCACGTCATTCTTTGTTACCTCTACTTTTCAGCCATAATTACTACATTATCCATGCAATCCTTCTATATGAAGGATCATGCTATGAGTACAAAATGAGATACAAAATGGGTTACAAAATCAACAAGTGGCGGCTGTCGATTGGAGGGGCGGCTGGCCCCACAGCTACCTTTCCAATAGGGGGCCGCCACTTGTTGATTTTGTAATCCATTTTGTACATGATTTAGTACAAATAGAATAATCCCTATATGAATAGGTTTAATGATAGAATATTAAGTCTCATTTTTCATCAAAATATATTTTTCAACAGTAATTTAACATTATTTCAATTACTCATTTTTTAATAAAATAATATTATACGTAAAGTCAAAATTTTTTCTTATTTTTTAACCACATATTCTTCATTATAACACTATTTCAAAATACATTTTTCTAGAAAAATGGGGCTCAAACAACCCCTAAATAGAGGAAACGAGTGTCATTTTTTCATTTTACAGTCAGAAAAAAACAGCTAGATGAGTGCTGCTTGCATGTGTCACCAAACCCTGTCAATTTTCCCTATTTGAAGGGCTTTATTCTTATTTAGGACTACGACATTAGTTTAGTTGGCGTGATGTGATAAACTCAAATAGAGAAGCAATTGAGTAATTTGTACATCTCATTTAATGTCACGTTAGTGTCATTGATGATAAATAATAATTACTCTTAGTATCGTCATATTACATGTACATCTAACCGTACGAGTTTGCATAATTCTATACATTGATTTGGACAACAATTTTACTGAACAATGTCCGAAACTTTGACATGTAGGCGGGTGTCAAACTAGCACACAATGGATGCAGATCTAGTTTAATTATAATTACTAATGGCCAATCTCCACGAACATCTGTACTATTAGTGTCTGTTTGGGAGATGTTATTTGAGTGAAAATCATTTATTTTTTATTTTTTTAAAATTTGTGGTAAAAAGGTGGAAAATGTAAAGTTATTTTATTTGTAGAATGTATGATTAAAAATGAGTTAGAGAAAAAATAATTTTCAGATGGATTGTGCCAAACAAACTTTAAAATGGTTCAAATCATTAGAGGAACGCTACGTAGATTGCTTACAAGAAAAGTATTGTTTTATGTTTTCCACAATAGCAGCAGCATAACTGCATAGTTGCATCTGGGATGCTCTTAGACATGAATCAAAGAAATATAAATTATTTCCCTTTCATTCTCTGATTCTCGATTTTCATACACACGAAAAATTTCTCTGTTTCTCGTATTTATTGATTTTCACATACATAATTAATTTTTCTCTTTCATCATTTCGATTTTATTTATTTTACATTCTGGATTATAGATTGAACTTATCGGAGAGAAAATTTAAACTTTGAATGTTTGTTCCATAAACATGAATTGACATACACTAGAAAGTTTTCCAATTTAAGGTCGCATATTTTATCAAGTCTTTCGTACACTGACTTCTATCTTAAGCAACTATAGTATTGTCACATTCCATCATTGTTACTCCATACGTAAAACGTTTAATAAAGGTTTTGATTCAATAGCAGGGTGGCAAAACTATTAGGGTGAGTGGCTTGACGAGTCGTTAAGATTAAGTCTCTAGAGGTTATGCAAAATATACAACTTAATTTAAAGTCGTTCTATTGATAGGTTAATCATCATACCATTACTTCTTTTATGAATTTACTGAAGAGCGTTTCCAAATCGCCTATGTCTAGATTTAATTTTTATAATTGTGCACGAACAAATTCAGTCTCGAATAAAAATATGAATTTAAAAGATTGAGTTCTCCTAAAAAGAAATTCATTGAACATTCCTTTTGTTTCTACAAAATGTAAGAATAATTATGTTACGCTATATGCAAAAAAATTCTTTATAAATTAGGGAAGGCAACCGGTGCGAGGATCTCATTTCCCATCCCTCCTCCCTTCCCGCTTATGCAGGGTAAGTTGGGGTGAAGCTAGGGTAGAAACATCAAATCCCCATTTATGGTTTTGTTTATACAATTTTTACGTTTTAAATATTAATTATATTTATTGAAGAAAGGAAGAGGAATAAAATCCATTGTATTCTTCACATTAACTTGCATCTATACAATAGGGTATAAATAGAAGAAGAAAATGAACAAACTAAAAACAAACTCTAACAAACTGTAACAAAAAGGATGTGAATGAAAATGACGTGGGTAAACAAATTATTCTAGCTTCCAATAACATTCAGTCCTTAGCTCCAGCTGTATTCCTTGCTGCCTTGCTAGATTCTGTTACTCCTCCCTCAAGATGGAATGTGTGGATTGATCACAGCCATCTTGGACAAAAGAGAAAAAAGTAAAGGAGCTGGCAAGGCTTTTGCGAAAATGTCAGCTAACTGGTGGTTGGAACGAACAGGTAAAAGCTTGACAGAACCATCAGCCACCTTATCTCGTATAAAATGACAATCTATCTCGATGTGTTTAGTACGTTCATGAAATATAGGATTAGAAGCCATGTGAACTGCCACTTGATTATCACAAAATATAACAGTGGGGTCTTTGGTAGATGTCTGAAAATCACCAAGTAATTGAGTAAGCCAAGTAAGTTCGCTAGCAGTAGAAGCTAATGCTCGATACTCAGCTTCAGCTGATGATCTAGAAACGGTAGTTTGTTTCTTGGCTTTCCAAGAAATCAGAGAATCCCCAAGGAACACGCAAAAGCCTGCGACTGACTTCCTTGTGTCGAGGCAAGACCCCCAGTCCGCATCTGCAAATGCACGTAATTGCAAGGAAGATTGTGCGGAAAATAGAATCCCTTGACCTGGGCTAGCTTTAATATATTGTAGAAGATGGTGGGCAGCATCCAAATGTGGCTGTCTAGGTTGGGATACAAATTGACTCAATTTGTGTACAGCAAACGTAATATCTGGCCTGGATATAGTGAGATAAAGAAGTCGACCAGTGAGTTTCCTATACATGGAAGCATCAACTATGAGATCACCTTCATAAGAACTGAGTTTGAGCTTGGGATCCATGGGTAATGCAGCTGGTTTAGATGCTAGAAAGCCAGTATCCTCAAGCAACTGCAACGTATACTGTCTTTGTGATAAGAAAATACCCTTCTTAGACCTTGCTATCTCCAACCTAAGAAAATACTTTAAGTTGCCAAGGTCTTTCAATTTAAAATGACTGTGCAGGAACCATTTGAGTTGATTGATTTCAAGCTGACTGGAACTTGTGATGAGGATATCATCAACATAGACTAAAAGAGCAATGAAGGCATTACCAGTACCCTTAGTGAATAATGAATAGTCTGATTTGGATTGAGTAAATCCATGAGCAATAAGGGCACTTGAAAATTTTGAGAACCACTGTCGTGAAGCTTGCTTTAGTCCGTAGATTGATTTGTGGAGTTTACAAACAAGATGTTCTCCCTGAAGATCAAGTCCTGCATATTCTCTGTAACCCAATGGCAGATCCATGTATATCTCTTCAAATAAATCACCATTGAGAAAAGCATTATTTACATCGAGCTAAATAATATGCCAATTATTAATTGCAGCTAGAGCCAAGAAAACTTTAACTGTGGCCAGCTTTGCAACGGGTGAGAAAGTTTCAATAAAGTCCAGTCCCTCTTGCTGAGTATAGCCTTTAGCTACCAAACGTGCCTTGTATCTGTCTATGCTGCCATCTGCTTTGTATTTGATCTTATAAATCCATCTACAGCCAATTGTGTGCTTCCCAACAGGTAAGGGTATCACAGACCAGGTTTTGTTCATTTCCATGGCATCCAATTCAGCTGACATAGCATCCTTTCAATGGGAGAATTTCACAGCTTGCTGATAGTGTTCGGGTTCAAAATTGGAAGAAACGTTGAGGAGAAAATTACGATGAGAAGGGGAAAAGGCCTTATATGAGATGTATTTGGATATGGAATATGGCAAGTAGTCAAATGTTTGTTGACCATTGATCAAGAGATTACAGTGAAAATCTCTTAAATATGAAGGAGGTTTAGAGAAGCGAGATGACCTTCTGGGAATATTGGATGTGTAAGGTTGATGAGCAATGTGAGAAGAGGTAGGCTGCAAGTCATTTGTGTTATTGGGAATATTGTGATCTATGACTGTTTGTGAATTGATAGGAGGTATATGTGAATGAGAGGAAAAAGGGATGTCATAGATGGACATGGGTATCACAAGTTCAGGAAATGGATCAATCATGTCAGAAGAATGAGGGATCGATTGAAATGGGAATATGTGCTCGTGGAATATAACATCCCTAGATATGAAAAAGGTTTTGGACTGAATATCATACAACTTGTATCCTTTAATTCCAGGAGGGTATCCTACAAATACACAGGTAGTGGCTCTAGGTTGAAATTTTGTTTGATTGGAGGATAATGTAGAGGCAAAGCACAAACTACCAAACACTTTGAAGTGATGATAATTGACAGGAGCATCATACAGTAGGTTATATGGGCATTGATTTTGTAAAACAGATGAAGGAGTTCTATTGATAATGAATGTTGCAGTTAAGATACATTCAGTCCAGAATTGAATGGGAACTTTTGCTTGAAAATAAAGTGATCTGGCCACATTAAGCAAATGTTGGTGTTTTCTCTCTACCACGAAATTTTGTTCAGGTCTTTCGACACATGAAAACTGGTGAATAACTCCCTTGGAATGGAAGAAATCAACAAATTTTAACTCTGGTGCATTGTCTGATCTGAACATCTTTATCCCTTTGTGAAATTGAGTTTCAGTCATTTTAAAAAATCTGGAAATGATGCTACTGACTTCTGACTTGTGTTTCATGAGATATACCCACGTGAAACGAGTGCTGTCATCTACTAAAGTAAGGAAGTATCTGTGTCCAGAATGTGATGCAACATGGTATGGTCCCCATGTATCACAATGTACTAAATCAAAGGCATTTGCAGAAAAATGGTTGTTGGAGACAAATGATAGCCTTCTTTGCTTTGCCAATGGACAAACGTTACAAGGGATTGAATTATGATCCTTACTTTGATCAAACTTTAAACCCAAAGAGTCTTTCAACAGTGCTAATTTTTGAAAAGACAAATGTCCTAATCTGTGATGCCAAGTATTGGCATTCACTTTATTTACAACTGAGGAAACAGAAACACAAACTTTATCAATCGAAAGATTTCTACTGTGAGTTGGAAATGAATCCAATGCTGCTGCACTAATGATGTAAAGACCAGCACTTCTCCTACCCTTGCCAATTATCTTCTCGTTGTGTGTATCCTAGATATCACACTCATTAGCAAAAAATCTGACAGTAATATTCGAATCCTTGGTCAATGAACTTACTGACATCAGATTGAATTTAAAGTCTGGCACATATAGTACATCTTCAAGCATCAGATTATTGTTAAACTTCACAGTCCCAACAAAACTCACAGGTATCCTTTTATGATTTGGTAAGGTAACATACACATTCTTAAGGCAGACTTACTGAAGCATATATGGCTAGTTGCCCCAGAATCAATAACCCAGTGCTTAGGAGAATTTAGACATGGGTTAAGTGCAATAGAAAAACAAGTACTTGAGACTTGATTAGTATGTTCATCATTTCCAGTGTTGGTTTTTGCAGAAGTCAGATGGTTGCCCAGCATATTCATCAATTGTTGATATTGGGTATGGTTCAAGGAATGCATGAAATCTTCTGCATTTGTGTGTGCTTGTTCTGACTTGTTCGCAAATACCACTTATTAGCAGCAATATGTCGTGGCTAATTGTCCACTTGATCAGTAAAGTTGGATCTCTGTTTCATCTTATACCCAGGAGGATACCCATGTAGTTTATAGCATTTATCCACCGAGTGCCCTGCAAGTTTGCAATAAGTGCAAATTGGTTTTTCTTTCTTCTGAAATTTGTGCTGTCCTAAGCTGGCTTTCTTTGGATCGATTTTGGCATAGAACGCCATTGAGTCTCCAGTGTTGGAGATACCAGCATTAATGCTTATATTGCGCTGGTGTTCTTCTTGAGATACAAGGAAAAATACCTTGTTGATGGAAGGCATTGGGTCCATAAGTAGTAGTTGACCCCTAACTTGTGCAAATGTATCATTCAACCCCATCAAGAAACTCATGACATACTCCATCTGGTAATGTTCTGAGAGCTTCTTATTTCCACCGCAAGAACATTTTCCACAAGAGCATATTGGTCTATAGTTGCCTAATTCTTCCCAAATTGTTTTCAATTTAGTGAAATACACACCCACAGATAATTGCCCCTGAGTGAGGTTCATCAACTCACGCCTTAATTGGAATATACGAGGCCCATTCCTTTGTTGAAATTTTTCCTTCAAATCGATCCATATATCATGGGCAGATTCAAAATAAATCACACTTGCAGAAAATTCTTTCGAAACTGAATTCAGTATCCACGAAATAACTATATTGTTGTTTCGAATCCAATTGCTGACCTGATGATCACTGTTGTCAAGTTTGGCTATTGACCCATCAATAAAGCTGATTTTATTCTTCACAGAGAGAGCAATCATCATGGCTCGACTCCATGAAAAATAGTTATCACCAGTAAGGAGTTGTGACACAAGCACAAGTCCCGAATTATCAGAATGATGGAGGTAATACGGGCTGGAGATATCATCAATTGCGGTGGAATTGCTAGTTGATGATGGGGAATTAATTTGATCAGTAGCTGACGCCATATCAAATCAACTACAAATTGATCAGGAAGAAAGGAAGAGAGAGCAATTATCATTGCTCTGATACCATATTGAAGAAAGGAAGAGGAATAAAATCCATTGTATTCTTCACATTAACTTGCATCTATACAATAGGGTATAAATAAAAGAAGAAAATGAACAAACTAAAAACAAACTCTAACAAGCTGTAACAAAAAGAATGTGAATGAAAATGACGTGGGTAAACAAATTATTCTAGCTTCCAATAACATTCAATCCTTAGCTCCAGCTGTATTCCTTGCTGCCTTGCTAGATTCTGTTAATATTAAATATAAGTTATAAAAATATTATTACTTTTACCTTTTTGGGTCATCTTATTGTTTAGCCTATTATTATGTTTTGATTTTTAATATTATACTATTTTCATATATAAATATAATATAGAAAATCAAAATTATTAATCTGGACGCTCCACCATTGTCATTTTCCCTATCCCATCTTCAACTTGGGACATGAATTTTAACCCCATTCCTTGATTAACTCCATAATTTCTGCACTGTTGTCGTCTTCATTATAATGCACTTTAAAAGATAGACAATTTATTTAATATATAACAATATTTGTACTTCTCCATTCATTATATTCTCATTTACCAATATTGATTGGAATTTTTAAGAGGTTACATTGTATCCACCATACAAAATTTATCTGTGCAGTACCTATAAATCCACAAGCTAATTACAAAATTCAGTTGATATTTTACTTTTCCAGAGAAAGCATGGAGTATTTTCAAGATAAAGATTGGAACAATCTTGTTTTGAACTGAGCAAGGATAGGAGAAAATGTGATAAAGGGCAATTTTCACAAATAGCATGCTGAAAAGGAGTGTATGAAACAAATGTATGCATTTCGATTATGGGCGTATTCTATGAAAAATGTAACTGATTCTTTCGTTTCTTTGGGAACCATAAAAGAAAACTCCTTTTGTGGCGTTTCATTCCATTTGTGATAATTTGAAGGCGAATGGATTCGGTCTTATACATACGCGAGGAAGGTAATCAAAAAAGGAAGAAGATCTTTTTTCTAGAGAAGAAGCAATGACGGTATTTTGGGGAATAAACATCGGCTAATTCTGTGCCAATGATGAGAGTTGCCGGTGTATTGGGTGCGGCTTTGCTATGCGCTATTCACAGTGCGGACATTATCTTTTGTGCATTGCATATGGCTCTAGGGCGTCTTTACCATTCTGTATAAATGGGGGATGACCTTGGGTCGATCACTTGCCCACAATAATCTTACATGAGCTTTTGGCAACTTGGTTTGAGTACACACGTGAAAGTTAAAGGCTTTTGATTTGAATTGATTTTCTATATGTTTTCAAAAGTAAGTATAAGTCACTTTAAAATTGTGCATTTATATTTAAATTGAGAAATAGATCCATCTAATTTACCGGATGAAATTCTCCACATAATCGAGTACTCTTTTGCAAGACACTCTTTAGAAGTTGATAGAAATGAAATCCAAATTTTTCGAGGCATTGACATTACTTTACTAAAAAAAATTCATAAAAACATATTACTTTATAAAAATTAATTTAAAAATTATATTTGATAGATTATGTAATTTTGAAATACAATCTAACATATTAAGATTAGAATCATTTCATGATAAAAATAAAATGGTAATAAAAAATCATTTTTCGAAAAATAAATATATTCATTTGTTAATATGTTTGGTCTTCATTTTTTAAAATTTATTTTTCTTCAAACATACTTTCTATCATATATTTATGGAATTCATATTTTTGCTCTTGAATTAGTGTGGAGAAATAGAAAGACATGACTGTAGCGTATAAAAATTGAGGAAGAGTAAAA